AATTGGTATGGGAGTGTCAGAGACGGTGCGATTGGCACAGGACAGAGCGGAGTTTAGGGCTGTTGTACATAGGGTCGCTATGAGTCACAGGCGACTCGACGGCACATAACAACAACAACAAAAGAAGTAGGTGAGGGGCATTCCTTATAACTGCGGGGAAATATATCCATCTTACAGAGATTAAATACAAAAATGCTAAGTAAATATTTACTAAAAACAATGTCTCGATGATAACTATATAAGGCCTCCAAAAGGAATAAATTTCCTGATAGTTAAGACCCTTAGGAAGAAAGCGAGCATTGTTGAGAGACAATCTATCACATACTTGGCATAATTGGTCTTATTAAATCTCTATTACAATTCTGTGAAAATGATAGCTATATACCTGCTTTGCAGATAGAAAGCTGTGGATCTGAAAATTAACTAATGATAATATAAACTGTTCCCAGATAAAAGGATTAGCAGTACTTTCTCCTATAACTTGTACACAGCACCATTTAAACAAATTAAGATCTCCCTACCTTCAGAATTGTATAGGAGGATTTATGGATTATATAAAAATTGCTTGAAATTACCTATAGAACAGACTGTTATCATTAGCATTTAGAGGAAATTTTTAGAAACAGATGCTTAAACCTCACTCCTGGAGATCTAGAGAGTTCTTTAAAATATGCATTGTAGGATATTTTGATGTAAAATTCCATTTAGAACATACTGATTTAAGGATCATCAAATCTCAGAATGTTTTTACAAGATTACTCATCAAATGTTTTCATGGTTTTGAAGGATAATAATAAACCTAAACATAGAACTCCCTTTAAAGTGGAATATTTATAGCTGATCAAAAGAAATGGCTAAAGAGATCAAAGTCATCAATTCTGTCCTAATTTGTTACATTGATTATGTTCTTTTTCTAAAGATTTATACTAGTAACTCTGATAAGTTATCTTGGCTATAAGAAAAGATCAAGGAGAAAGTGACTTTTAATGCACTCTTTTTTAGAAAGACATCAAGAAATGCCTTTCCACTGTCACCATTCTCAGATAATCAAATTATATATACAATAGAGTACAATGATTTCATTTATTAGAAACTTTGGTAAAGGATATGTATGAGCCCTTACTTTTTATTTGACATCACATTTATCATACTTCCCAGTGCATTCAGTGTGCTTTAAGTTATTTCTACACATGCATTGCAGTTCCACATATAATGCAAGGTCAAACTCAAAACTCATTGTTCTTAAGTTGGAATTGACAATGCAAGGTAAAGAACAGCATGATCCTATGGCTCCAGTCAAACTCATTGCTGCAGTCAGAAACACCTCATAGATGATCCTCCAGTGGGTTTTTGGAGGCTGTAAATCACGTAGGAGATTGTTCATTTCTCTCTGGAACTATTGGTGGATTCGAATCACCAGAGAGGCACTACCTTTGTGTTATCAGTGCAACCCTCACAGATTGCAGCACCATTGTTCTTTATTATAAAGCAGACAGTGGGAAGCCACTTAATATCCACAGAAAAAATTATTCAAAAAGATTGTCTTTGTACTCAGCCCACAATTTTAGTATTAGTCCGCCATGTGGTTGTAGAATAACCCTGACCCATAATCTATACCCAGGGTTCACTTTATTTTAAGATTCTCCAACACTTTTCTCCATCCCTAGAAGCTTTTTCACAGCCCCTTTCACATCTTTGTTCCTCAGAGTATAGATGAGAGGGTTGACACTAGGAGTTACAATGGTATAGAACAGGGTCAAAAATTTGCCCTGATCTTGAGAGTAGCTGTTGGCTGGCTGCAAGTACATGTAGATGATGGTGCCATAGAAGAGAGAGACCACTGTTAGATGAGAAGAACAGGTGTTGAAGGCCTTTTTGCGTCCTGATGCAGATTTGATCCTCAGTACAGCGGCAGCAATCATGCCATAGGATATGAGGATCAGGGAAAGGGGTACCAGAAGAAGAGCAACCCCCAGAGCAAAGGCAAATGCTTCCACAAGCATGGTGTCTTCACAGGACATGGCAATAAGAGCAGGCATCTCACACAGAAAGTGGTCCACCCTGCGGCGCCCACACCGAGACAGTTGCATTGTCTGGGGACACATAACAAAAGAGTTTAGAAAACCACAGCACCAGGCAACAGTCACCAGCTGCAGACAGAGACGTGGATGCATGACTACTGTATAGTGCAGGGGTCGACAGACAGCCACATAACGATCATATGACATGACAGCCAGGAGGACACACTCAGTTGAGCCCAAAACCATATAGATGTAGAGTTGAGCCACACAGCCATGATAGGTGATAGTCTTCTCTGGGCCCCAAAGGTTCCATAGCAGCTGGGGGACAATGCTGGTTGTGAAGCAGAGGTCCAAAAAAGAGAGATTCCCAAGAAAGAAATACATGGGTGTGTGTAGCCTGGCATCCATGATCGACAAAAGGATAATAGCAGTGTTACCTACCAGTGTCAGGAGATAGAAGACTAATATAAAAGCAAAGAGAATTATCTCCAGTCTAGGCCGATCAGAAAAACCCACCAGGATGAAGGACTGTAGGTAGCTGTCATTTTCCTTTCCCATAATCTTGGTTGGCTATTAAAGAAATAAACAAAAAATTAGTAAAAAGGCAAATGAAGGTTGCACTGATGGCTTTCTAAATTCCATTTAGAAGGATTTGAGATTGAAACAGTTTCCCTTGCATTATTTTCTTTAGTAAACAGTTATTGAATATCCATTATATTCAAGAAAGAAAATAATAAACAAGATAAATGACTATGGAAATAAAAAATTAATATAAGCATATAAGGAGGGGAGAAAGCAAACGTTCTGTGAAAGAAGTTGTTTTGAAAGGCTGAGATTTTTTTGAAATAATTTCTAATTTATCAGGAAAATATTTGTAGAAGAGTTTGGATTAGGAGAGATTGCTAGAAATGATTGTGGTTTTTTTCATTGTATACCAAATAATTTGCCAAGTGTCATATTAAAAAAACCGAGCAAACAAACATGTTTTGAGAAAAGGAAGTAGTATGTCTAAAGACAAAGCAATAGCAATTAAGTCAATTACAACTGGAAATCCTACAAGTCAGAGTAGAATTGTGTTTCATAGGTTTTGTTAAAAAAAACAAGTAAATACCAATGAGGATTCTCTGTGTGGACTCCAACCTTCAACCCTCCAGTTAGCTATTTGTACAACTCTCAGTAAAGACACAAAATACCAAGTAATGCTTAGTAAGAAATGCTAAAAGAATTCATAAATGTGCAAGTAAGGCATAGCTGTATCTCCATGTAATAAAAAAATACAATAATGTTTGATCTTCAAAAGCAGTTGAGATAATAAACTTGATTTTTTTTTTATTTCTACGATACAGATCTATATATGTATGGACTGTCTGTCAGTCTATGTTTTCATATCTTGGATTTTTCCTTGTGCAAGATAAAATAATGGTTGGATTATCTTTATCGTACCATCTGTCCCTAAATATCAATATAGTTGATAATGAATATATCTTGAACACTTTAACTTTTTCACATTTTCCATAGCTATAGAGTCTTAAGGGAGCACTGGTGGCCTAGTGGCAAGAAGCTGCACTGCAATTCCAAGTCACACAGATCAAATCCATCTGTTATTCTGTGAAAGAAGAATAGGGAAACCCCTCCCATGCAATTTACTGACTCTGAAAATCTGCTAGAAGATCACCTATGGGTCAGTTCCAACTTGAAAACACACAACAACAACAACAACAACAACAAACAATAGCATCTAAACATGGATTTGATGAAAGCAATTATGTCCACCCAAGCATGTGTTGGGTATATTAATGTCTATGCAACATACAAGAATAAATTAGTAGGATCAAGGGCATAGAACAGTTTGAAGAAGATGTGTCTCCGTGAGACTACTGTTACTATTCACCATTCTTTCCTCTTTTTATAAATTGTTATTTGAACGGATGTTTACAAAATAATTGGTTTTTGATTCACTCATTTATACAGACTTATTTCCTTTTTCCTACCCCTTTAATCCTTAATGCATGTCCTATATCAGCTTATTAGTTGCATTGCTCATAATACCTTATTGCCCATTTTCTTCAAAATTACCTTCCGTTCTTCATCTATTCCAATGCTATGTTCTTTATCTATTCTTAAAAGTTGAAAAATTCTATCTAGGCATAGTTCAAGTGGTAATTGTGTAACTCCTATTGATTGCTCTGAGCACTGACTTCTCAGCAAAGTCTCCATAAGCATAAACGGGCAAGAAATAACGGGAAGAAAGTGACCAAGTACCAAAACATAAGTGGCCTTAGGAAGCCTCCCTGAGTACTTAAGTAAGCCTCTCCAATGCACCTTTGCTGGTGGTCATATAAATTCATCACAAACTTTCACTAGAACTAAAGAGAGGCAAAACAGAGACCCCATGAGTAGTAATGATAAGCTACAAAAATTATTTAGCAGTATATATCACTTACAGTGTGATTCCCTAACTGAAATTACAAATGTACCATTGATTCAAACCGGGTAGTTTTCCAGTACATTAATTATTCTTTCATTCCAAGATGCCTCAGTGACCAACACTTGTGTCCAAAAATAAGAAGCTTTCTTCACTTTCAACACTGCAATTTTAAATGTGAATTAGTGTGCCTCGGCAATGAATGAATGGAAATCCAAAACCTCTGTAAAAAAAAAAATTTTAAAAAAATAAAATCATAAGGACTATAATAAATATTGAAAATGTTCTGAAACCTGAAAGAGTTTAGGTGGCATATAGCAATATAAATATCTACTAATATTAAAAAACATCTTTGATCTAAAGAACTGAATCTAGATTGCTGTCTCACACTTGATTATTTTTATCAAAGCTTGCGCCCAAATATGCCCACACATGCTATAGAAGAGAATCAAACAGATAATTCTTTGTTTATTAAATTAAACTTGCCAATACCAAATAGTGCATTTCTTTTTGTCTTATTTGTTTGTATATGCTGAGTCCTCAACAGTCATGACTTTTTACATGTATAGTACTTTAAGTGTTTTAGACATCATTTACATTTCATTTTCATAACAGCCCTTCAAGATAAGGGACAAAGTAAATTCTGTGAGAAATGAACACATTCAATGACAGAGAGTTTGAAAGAATAGTCAGCAATTTTGTGACAATTTACTATCACAGCAAAGCTCCACAACCTTTTCCTTATTAAGTAATATTATAAGTACTAAAGATATAGAGGATTATCTGGGTGGTGTAAGTGATTGAAAGTGGATGTTTGAGTCTACCCAAAAGTGCGATGGAAGAAATGAATGGAAATCCACTTTTTTCAAAAAAGCAGTTACTGAAAACTCTGTTGGCATAACTGCAGTTGAATTACAGATACAGAAATGGCTAACTATCACGACAAAGTTGACAACAAATTAGTTCATCCTGTTGTTTCTACAAAGTAGAAGACAAGATTTTCTTAGCTCTTCTTACTTCTTTCACACTGCTTCTTTACCTCTAATCTTGGTTTCTAAGAGTGTGGTTATTTAAACTCATTCATTGATTGATATATCCTCACTAATCTGTGTATAATGGTCTAACAATAGAGTTCACCATTATGAGCAAATTCCAGGTAAAATATTGTCATCATTTTTTTATATTCAGTAAGAAATAGTGTTCAATCCCCAACTTGCCACTGACTCAAAAGAAGACAATAATCAAAATATCCATTCAAATTATCAATCATTTCAATTATGGAAATATGGTAATAAGTTAGTGAGTAGATACACACAGCCTGGACCAATGACTAGAAATGCTGGTTGAATTGGTCCAATTAGGAATGGAGAGCAAGTGAAACATAACCACTTCTATTTGTATTAGATCCACGTTTTTTACATTCTGAACATTAGATTGTTCTGAATTGAATGAAATAGATCTATTCCATAAGAAGATATAGAAATGGAAAGTGCCTTCCTCTTGTGCCCTAACACATTTGAACTCTGATCATATGTATATAGAGAGAGATTTAATATATAGAATTATAATATATATATAACATATATATTATGTATATACTGAGAGAGAGAGAAGACTAAAGAAACAGAAAGAAAATCCATTAACATGGATTGCATGTAAATTTCATGACAAAGCTCATGAAAAGCATTCTTACCAGAGTTCTTCCTACGAGTATACCTTGAGATTTTTATCAGTTCTCCTTACTTTAATGCAAAATTTTAACCAAGAGTTTTCTCATTGTGAAGGTAATTAATTAGTTTCTGAATCTTTCAAAGGAATTGCCAGTGAAAACTATAATGGGGCATTGAACACACACACAAAAAATTTTCAACCCTATTTAAGTGACAATTTAAATGAATATTTAAGTAGAAGACCTTGAAAGAGAAATCATTAACTTGTGCCGAAGTTATCAGGATTGTCTGGTGGCCACATTTCTTGTGTTGTTAAGTAGGAGAAGCGGCTGAAAGCCACATTTTAAAGTAGTGTGTTTTCTTTCACATCCATATATACAAATACCCAAGAGCTAAGAAGATAACAAACCACCCCAGGGATAAAATGAAGCCTGATTCACTATAACAGTTTGGTAAATGAAAATGATGTCATTTCATTGGTTTAAGGGAATGGGAAGATGTCTTTAAAACCTTAGTACTTTGGGGAATTAAAATAGTCTGAATGGCTGAGGAAAACTGATGTCTGTTTGTTTACAGTGCTAAGACCTCCTCGGGGACTGATATTCTCTTCCTGAAATTAGCGAAGGCTCCGTATATGAAAGCAGAACACACCAGGGAGGCAACTAGGAAAGTTCTCAAATAGGGCTCTGATGATCCTAAAGAGAGAATTAGCAAGAGGAGTCAATGTACAATGAAAGTGAAACTATTTCATTTATCCTGAAGACTCAAAGTTAAAACCATAAAAATATTGGTAATGAAACCACTAAACAGAGTTTACCTCAAGAACCTTAAAGAGTTCTAGTTCATAAAAACATCAAAACAACTGTTCTGATAGAATCTTGGTGAATCCTTCAGAATATGTAGATACTTTCCAAGCTTAGGACTAAACTCTCAGAAATCAGCATTCAGCAAATAATAGGCAGGTGAATAAAATGACAATAATAGAAAAGTAAATAATAGTGAGAAAGAAATGCACTTCTCAGTACAATCAGCCACATGAGACCAAATAAATAACAATCTGCCCACATATAAAGTTCAGAGGCAGCAAAGGACAGAAAAGAAGAACAAAGGAAAAAAGATAATCCAGGAGAAAAAAAAATGATAAAAGTACTGTAACAATGAGGAAATTGAAATGAATGTCATTAAATGAGTCCAAATTGTTTAATGAATATTGATTTACTCTGTAAATTTTCACTCAAATGGTAGTAAAAAGAAATATTTACTATTAATAATAAATTATAATACCAAAGTATTTCATTCTCATCTACTATCATAAAGAGAAAACATTAAAATGCTGCTGTGTGAACCTGTAATTTTATGTCTAGGGGTTATGGAATGTTTCTAGCTGAGTGTATATTTTCCACTTTTAAGTTTATAAATGTGATTATGCACCTATTAGAATATATGTGCTTTTAGAATAACTA